TTCAGGGCTTGGTGTATGTTGTTGCAGGATCTTGTAGCTTTCAGGGTCTCCGTGGAGAAATCGGAGATCCTGATTGGTTTCTCCCATATGTAATCTGATTCCTTTCTCTTGTGTCTTTTAAAATACTCTGCTCCTCCTGTGTGCTACGTGTCTTCATTATGATGTGCCTTGGTGTGGATCTGTTGTGATTTTGTTCATTTGACATCCTGTAAACTTTTCCCATTCAGTCTTCATGTTTGGAAATTTTTCTGATATTATTTCATTGAACAGATTGTCCATTTCTGTAGTTTAGACCTCTATGCCTTCATCTATCCCAATAGTTGTTAAATTTGGTCTTTTCATGTTATCCCATAATTATTGAATCTTCTGCTCATGGTTTCTTACTATCTTCACTGGGGTCAACTTTATTTTTCAAGATTATACATTTTTTTCTTCAATGTCGGAGGTTCTGTCTTCCAAGTGATCTATTCTGTTGGAGATGCTTCCTGTTGAGTTCTCAATTTGGTTTACTGTTTCCTTCATTTCAAAATCCTGTTTGTTTTTTCAGAGTCTGTATCTCCTTATCTCTTTTGCTTTCTGTATTTGCTTATGTAACTCTTTATCAAAATGTTCCTTTGCTGCCTGTATTTGCTCTCTTACATCATCCTTTAATTCACAGAAAATTGTGTACCTCCTCCACTCCTTCTCTGTCATTTCTCCTGCTGTTCTGTCCCTGGATTCTAATAATGTAGCATCATTGTTTAGGGCACATTCTTCTTGGTTTTTCATGTTGCTCATGCATCTTCCCTTCCATCTGTGTTTTCAAGGTGTAACAGTTTTTACCCTGTAGGCCTATAGTGTCCACAAAGGGTTCCAATTCCTTTCTTTTTTTAAAAATGTATTTATTTTTTAAATATACAAGAGTGGAATGCATTACAATCCTTATTACACACATAGAGCACAATTTTTCATATCTCTGTATATAAAGTATGTTCATGCTAATGTATGCCATTATACATGTACTCATTTCTTTCTACATTACAACTCTTAATACACATATAACACAGTTTTTCATATCTGTTTGTATATAAGGTATGTTGGTACCAAATTCAAATCTTCATACATTTGTTCTTGAATCATGATGTTGATCACATTCCACCATCCTTGCTAATCCCCTTCTCCCTCCATTTTCCTCCCACCCCTCTTCTCTATCCAGAATTAATCTAATCCTCCCATGCTCTCCCTCCCTACCCCACTGTGAGTCACCCCCCCCATATATCAGAGAAAATATTTGGCATTTTTGGGGTGGGATTGGCTAACTTCACTTAACATAATATTCTCTGACTCCATCCATTTACAGGCAAATGCTATGTTTTTATTCTCTTTTAGTGCTGAGTAATATTCCATTGTGTATATATGCCACATATTTTATCCATTCATCCACTAAAGGGCATCTAGGTTGGCTCCACAACTTAGCTACTGTGAATTGTGCTGCTATAAACATTGACCTGGCTGTGTCCCTGTAGTGTGCTGTTCTTAAGTCCTTTGGGTATACTCTGAGGAGAGGAATACTTTGGTCACATGGTGGTTCTATTCCCAGATTTCCAAGGAATCTTGATTCTACTTTCCATATTGGCTGCACCAATTTGCAGTCCCACCCGCAGTGTATGAGTGT